GGAATTTCACAGGGAAACCATACATTGTACAAAAACGAAAGAGGATGTAATAAATATGTTTCGTAAAAAAAGATTTTGAAGGCCCAGGTAAACTAAAGTGAATGCAATAAATAACGTTGAAAATCTGGTATAAACTTTCTGAGTTCAGCAACATACATAGATCCTGGCCTACTTATTGAAACCCAATTTCTTCATCATTGATCTACTTTTTAAAAAATGTAACAACTATTCCTTGAACTCATCTATGTTACGCACTGTGGCAAATTCAGACAAGCAGAAAAGAATGGAGGCAAAACCAACAACAACAACAACAAAAAACAGGAAACCAGTATAAAGTAGGAAAATGGAAGTAATATGCATTATGGAGAACACCTTTAATTTCTATCCTGCTGTGACGTGAAGAAAAATTAAAGGGAAAAAATCAAAATGCCCTCCAATACTTTACATTCATAGAAGACCCAGGCTTATTACCATACATCAGAAGCACCATCTAGTCTTAAATTCTGATCATTTAGCAAGACGCTAATGCTAGGAACAGCAAGATTATCTTGAAATGTTCTTGATAAATGCATTATCTTTGTATTCTCCAAAAATGAAAGAAAGGGAAATAACTTCAGATGAATGAGAACTGGCACAGTAGACAGTTATGGCTCCTCAAAAAGAAACAGAGAGATGCTATCTGTCTTGTAAAGATATTTTAGACAACTTTCAAGAAGTAGGCTAAGGTATAACCAAGTCGCTTTATTGATTATGCTGGATTAGATATATAGCACTCCCAGAGGGTTAAGACAGACATGAACTTTTAAAACTATTTTATGGGAAAGTTACTGTCTGTATGCAATAGGCCACTTTAAATATTAACTTTCTATATTCACATTTTAATATCCAAGAGTCTGTTTTAGAGACAAGTGACCACAGATTTCCACCAGAAAAAAAAAAATTCCTTGAAAGTACAAAATTCAAGAAGAGAATTTTAAAGAAAAAATGTGTTACTTAAAAATTAAAGTTTTCCAGCCCTCCCTGGTGGTGCAGCGGGTTAAAGCACAGCACTAAGAAGCTTAAGCCACTTCTGCATGAGTTAGATCCCCGCCTGCCCAAGAGGAGACCACATGGCAAGGCAGACCTCTCCTGATCCACCCGCTGCTCCCCTCAGCAGTGTACTTCCTCAATCTGCCTGTTCTGCTCCCCACTCTGTCTCTGGTGAATTCTCTCACCCTCCGCATCTCTGGTCTGTACCCCAGTTCTGTATGAATAAATAAATAAATCTTTAAAAAAATTTAAGTTTTCCCTTTAGCTAGGCATGCAAGTTGAATAGAAAATGAACAACTGTAACAAAGACAGACCATATGGCTTACTTAGTCTTGGTATATGGGTTTTGTAAATTTTTGTTGATAATTGTTGATTCACATGCAGTTGTAAGGAATATAAGAGAGGTCTTATGCTTCCCAAATGCTAGTGCAGTTTCCTCAAATGGTAACATCTTGTATAAAGATAGACATATTCCTTTAAGCTAATATTATCCAGGTGGCCTTTGAATACTATTCACTGTGGATATTCTCAACTCTGCCTTTAATATAGATACACAGTACAATGACTGTAATGTATTACTGTTCAACTGAATTTAGATGATCCATATAAAATACACAAAATAACTAAAACACCATTTCTCCAAAGTTTGGGAGCTCATTTGGCATTTAAAATTACAGAAAGAAGTAAGTTTCTAGGTTTGTAGTTATAAAACAAAACAAAACAAAACAAAGCCACAGAAATTGATTTCTACACCAAATTTCTAAACCACCATAAACTGAGGCTCTTTAAATAGAACAGAAAAACATTTCTATGTTCTTGTTTAAAATTGCGTATAAATGATTATTACATTTCAAAAACCAAGCTGATAGATTATTTATGATTGGCTAACGATTATGATGCCATGAATTTTGTAGTAATAAGTACTGTTCGAGAAGTAGTGAGGATTATTTCTGCTTCTCAGAGAGTTGTGCTTCTTCTGAAATTTCTGAAACAGATGTGTTCATGCTTTGGTGGTTGTGCTCTAAAATCAGGCCCATGCTACTCAAAGATATGCAACAAGTTGTGGATCACTCTAGGAAGTCAGCAGAGTGACAGATGGATAATCAGCTTCTGGAAGACCAAGGTCATGAATCAACTTGCATTGAGTGAACCCCACACTCGTCTAAAACCTGTCATTGGAGATACCAAGCTGAAAGCTGTCACTGAAACATGTTATCTTTGCAGAAGGCTGTCAAGCGTTGCAAGTCAAGTAGAAAACCCTATCAGAGAGCCCAGTGAATTGCCTTTGGCAGGTTTCCAGAATGTGGCACTGAGATGGCCCCAGCTCCAAGATCTCATTACACCCGGAGTGGCAAAACTCCCATTTCCTACATTCAAATGTTCCTACCTCCAGTCTCCAAAAGACACTGACTTTTGCAATATGAAAAAGGACCACTAGTAATTATGAATTGTAACAATAGATGCAAGATGTACATTAAGGGAAGAATGAAGTGAAAGGAAAAAATGTATAAAAATAACATTAATAGTAAACAAGTTTTTTTCCTGAGCAGCTACTCCAAAGGAGAGAGTATTCTACCTCCTATAAGGTAAGAAGAATTGTGATATTATAAAAGAAGAGCTCCAAGATGAAAACTGTGAGCTGAATGAGTATGAATAAATTCTATGAACAAATCAGACTAAGCCAAAGCAATCAGCCATAAATAATCTCAGACAACTGCTGGTTTGGAAAAAGAAAACAGCCAATTAGTTTAAAGGAAAAGGCAACTCAGTGACCCAGGCATGAATGAGACCAAAAGGCTGATGGTGAAGTCATTTGAGCCCAGGATGAGGGCTTCGGGCGCGCAAACTCCTGATAGGTATATCAGGGCCATAGTGATATCCTTGGTCATGAAGGGATCACTTCAAAAAGTAAGGAATAAGAGTTTTAGTGGGTTAGTTCTAAGAACTCAAAAATTAGATAAAAGTAACTTTAGTGTAATAAAATCCCAGTCAGCACATGACAATAAAGATATAACAGACTGGTGTTTATTTTCTGATCAGACAATGGTGTACAGCAATAATTCTGTCATTTCCACTGACAATCTATAACTAATAGCATAATGACTAAATGGAGGCAGTTGTTTCATAGCATAAGCAATGGGGAAAATATGACACTTCATGTTCACAAATCCCAAAAGGCAAATGAGGTGGGTAAAAGCAGGAGAGTTGCTGACCTGATGGTATTCATTCATGCTGTAATAACAAAAAGTAATAACAAAGAAAAATCTCAAAGAAAGTAAGAGTCTTACTTCTGTGTGCTTATTTGACACAGCATTGCCCAAAAGAACTTTCTGCAACTGTATAAACGGTATAATATTTTCCACTGTGCTGCCTAAAATGGAGGGAAGAATATCTGTAAACCATATATCTAACAAGAGATTATATTAAAGGTATATAAAGAACTCACACAACTCAATAGCAACAAACAAAACTGAATTAAAAATTGGGTAAAATATAACAGACATCTTTCCAAGAAAGATAAAGAGCCAACAAGTACATGAAAAGAGACTCAACCATCACTCATCATCTGGAAAATGCAAACCAAAATACAATGATATCTCAAACAACCCTGTGGCTACTATCAGAAAGGCAAGGAGTGAAAGGGAAGAAAGGGGAACCCTTCCATACAGTTGATGGGTGTGTAAATTGGTACAGCCATTATTCAAGTATTTGGGGGTTTCTCAAAAAACTAAAAATAGATATTATATGATCTACCAATATCACTCTGGGTATATATCCTAAAGCCATTAAATCACTACCTCCTAGACAGTGTATCCCCATGTTCACTGCAGCACTGTTCATAATTGCCAAGACATGGACACAGATTAAATGTCTGCAATGGATGAATGGATAAATGTATATTACATACATATACATACAAATGGAGTATTACTCATACATTAGAAAGAAAGAAATGCCACTAGCAACAATACAAATGAACCTTGAAGGCATTATGCTAAGGCAGAGAAATGTACTACATGATCTCATTTATATGTGGAATCTGAAAAATCTAGTTACTGAAGCAGGGGCTGGAGAGTGGGGTGAATGGGGAGATGTTAGTAAAAGTATAGAAACTTCCCGTTACAAGAAGAGTAAGTTCTGGGCATCCATGTACAACATGGTGAATATAGTCAACGATACTATTTTGTTTATTCCAGAGTTCCTAAGAAACTGTGTCTTAAATATTCTCACCAGATGTAGAGATGCACATGGATACACACACATACTCACTCACACAGATGACCGTGTAAGTTCATACATGTGCTAACTACCCTATTAATGGTAATCATCTTATAATACATCTGTGTACCAAATCATCAGGTTTTACACTTAAACTTATATCATGCAATATGGTAATTATATCTTAACAGAGTTGGGGAAAATAGTCAAAAGTCATAACCTCTCCCTCAAAAGTTTGAATGTGCATCATTCTTCTGCTTTTAAACAATGCAAATAGGCAAACTAACAAACTGGGGAAAATAAACAAAAGGGCATATAGTTAGTACAACTGACAGTATAGATTCTAACCTTGATCTAGAATTTTAATTAATTAAAATTGAAATTGAAACAGTATGTGTGGCTAGTAGCCAACATATGGGACAGAACCGACTTCCAAGTCCTTCCTATCTGCTTTACTGTAGTGACTCACTCAATCCCCATCACCCTATAAAACTGATTCAGTTTGTTTTATTTATAATTATCATATTTTTTTAAAAAAACTAAGGAACAGAATGCTTAAGTAATCTGTCCAAAAATACACAGTAAAGCAAGCAGTGTGTTCTCAAATCAAGTGCCAATTTCAAAGTTATCACCCAGTTATGTGCTCTCTCTGGTAATGTGCACTATACGTAAGGAGTACATCAAACTTATGGTAAATATTGGAGACATTCAGAAAGATTGTTCTGTGATAACACAGAAGAGATAGCGTCTACCTGTTTTCCCAGTGTTTTTCATCCAGGTCTTGTTAGAAGACTCATTGTCGAAGCCATCAAGTTGCAGTTCCTGGTATTCTTCTCCGACACGTGCATTGTGGTCTAAAATGTCTATTGGAGACTGGTGGTGGCCCCCACAGCTCACACTTGATGTGACCCAGTGCTCAGGACCATAGGCACCTGTAAGGAGAAAATAGTAACTTCAATCCCTATGGTTTAAGAATGAGGGGTGGGGGACCCTCCCTGGTGGTGCAATGGGTTAAAGCACATAAAGTAGTATGTACACATTGTACTCATAAAGTACTATAAAGCTATCTAGTCACCGCAGCACAAGTTCGAACCTGGCCAGGGAGGTAACCCATATGGTGCAGCAGACCTCTCCTGTCTCACCCACTGCTCCCCTCAGCAGCGCATTTCGGTAGATCTGCTTGTTCTGCTCCCCACTCTGACTCTGGGGAATCCTCTCAACTCCCCTACCCCATACCTCTGGCCTGTGCCCCAGTTTTTGTATGTATAAATAAATAAATCTAAAAGAAAGAAAAAAAGAAAGAAGGATAGAACAAGTAAGATCAGACACCAATCTTCTCAAGTTCATTTTTCTATGTATAATCTGCTCTAAATGGATTCAAGCTATTGTCTTCACTGGGCAAGAACATTCAAGAAAAGACATGTTACTTAAGATAGTTTTGCTTCTTGATTTGTAATCAAACACTTGCTAACTCTATCTGTAACCAGAATAAGGAATTTGAGCAGAAGGGCTGTCAGAGTTATTCACATTTAAAAAAATTTTAAATAAGTTTCCTAAAATAAACAGCATTTATTCACAAGAAAACACCTTCATCAATTCAGCATGTCTTGCTACTGCCATCAGTATACTACACACAACTTTCTTCTTAGCTCTTAGGATTCTGAATCACATGAGAAAAATGTAGAAATTCAAAAGCAATACAACACTCGAGGAAAGCTATTACAAGTAGTATAGGTAGTGAGGCAGGTTTTTCTTTCTGTCTGTCTTTATTTTGCTAAATGAAAGATTTTTTTTAATTTGTTCAGAGTTTGTCTACTCTGTAGAGTATACTCCCATCTACTATACTCCCATGTACTCACAGGAGATGGGAGTATAGGTTACCTCCAGATTGAAGTCAGCACTCATAAATAAAAGCTTTGGGGTGGATGCATGCCGCAGAGAGTCGGGAAGAGAATGCAATTATTAAGCATAAATTCTAAAAGATGCCAATTAGGCAAAGGTGGAGGAAACATTGCAATCGCAACTCTGACCTATTCAAAAATAAAAAATGTAAGGGGCAGTAGCTACTAAGTTGATAACAAGTACTGAGATTTTTCTGCCTCCCACCTTTAATTTTTTGGCATAACAAAGCAGGAGTATCTTGTTGAAAAGAAACATCCTTTGCCATAAAGAATGCCTCTAATTCAGAATTAGATCTAGAAAAGTCCACACTTTCTAAGTTTTAGAAATTAAAACAGACTTCTCAGTCAATGAAGTATATGTATACCCATACCTGTAGTCCTAAATTCCCTAGCTTTAAATGTTTCACATATCAGAAGAGCATGAATGGCCAAAGCAGTATAAGGAGACCACCACTCTGCCAACCTGCCTCACTCTATACTTACGCTTGTATGATGGGGGACACAAGGGCAGCTTACGGCAAGGCTCCCTTCTACTAAATAAAAGCATTACCTGTGTCAAACCCACCATCATAAACTCACTTGTCGGGGTTTTCCCCACCTAATTCCCTTTTGTCTATTACAGCACACAGATGATACATAAACAGCAGTACTATGAAAACAAGGGTAAACAGAAAATCTTGGTTATGTCATGGTATCTTTGCAATTGCAAGAGCAATTGATATAACTTCCTAAAAGTGATTCATATCCTTTCTATCTGGCAAGTAACTTAGCCTTGCTCTGTTCCTGGGTCATTTTTTCTAATCTTTATCCCAAACAGTAAGATAAAGAAACTATCAGAAAAAACACGTTCACTGATTGATGAAAGTTTAGCAACCTCGGGGAATGGTTAGAAGTCATTTACAAGTGCCATAAGAGAGTTAACACCATCATTTTCTTTACTGTAGGACTCCAACTAAATTAAGAAATGTCAAGGACTTTTCACTCATGGTGTTTCACCTCTCGGTCAAATTCCCTAAGACTGTGATGAGTCATAAAGGAACAGTATGTGCATCTGCATATATTCAGGCCAACTTCATTTTCATCTTACATCAATACACTTGAAGGAAAAAAGGAGGAGAAAGTGGACATAATAAAGTGGTTCCAATTATCCTGTCCAGTCTTTAAATATTCTTCCATACCAAAGGAACTCATTGAAAAAATGGATAAAATGACTGTTGATATATTTGATGGCTTTCTAAAATGTGAAATTCATTCAGCAATAACTGTATGTTCAAATTATGGAAATTAATGTTTTAGTCTCTGGTGTGTGTGTAATCCCTTTTAGAAATTCACTAATACAATAAACAAATTCAATGGAAAAAATGTATGGTAAAATAAATCCAGACTCATATGACTCCAGAGAGATAAGAATGTAAATCATCATCTGTAAAAACACATCGACATCCAGTAATTATGCTGCTAGTAGAATAAAAAAAAAAAGGCTCTGAAAAGTACTTGCCACTTATATTACTTCTCATAACTTTGCAGACATGGGTGAAATATAATTTAGCACTCTATAAAAATATAATCAGGGTTCATACCAGTGGGATTCATTTATTCACTGGTAACAATCTGAAGATTTAAGCCGACCGACTACATGCTTGCTTTCACACTTCCACCCAATATACGTTCAAGTGCAATTTTAATTGAAACTGATCTTCCACTTCAGATTTTAAATTAATTCTTCTTTGGAGTGTTTCATGCTCCAGACACCCTTGCCTTGCAAAACCACTGTGTCATTAGTGGAGGAAATAAGAACACTTTTCCAAGCTTGCAGGTATTGATTACCTATTCTCACATAGAAATACCCTCGAATTTCCACACTGTATAAATCTCTTCAGTATTAAGACACTTTGTAAAGGACTGAGGATTATATCATTAAACATTTGCGGTTGTGCAAGTCTTATGGTATTGAATGTTTTGTTTTTTTGAACTTTGAATAAATGTTTTTAAGTACAGAAAACACTAAATAAAGTCTACAGCTGACTAAAATCTAAGTTTGGAAGGGGACTCCCAAATTAGCAAGCATCCTTCCTCTCAGAGGTGTGACAGCAACCATCTAAAATGAGAAGGAAAAATCATCTGCATTTTTGTTTCCCCTTATTGACTCTTTCCTAGAACAAGCAGTATATCCGCATCGTGCCAAGAGGAAACATTTTCAATAGCCCACTAAGTCTGACATGGCAACCAAATATACAGACCATGTTCGCAAAAAAGGGGCAGGTGGGTACAAAGGTAGAAAGCACAGGGCCAGCTGGGCTCCCATTCATGATGGAGGCTCAGTAGGAATGAGATCTTGAAGACAACATACCGTGAAGCATCTCTTCCAGAGGGATCTAAAAGTGTGTGTTACTCAACCTGTGATGAAAAATATTGTCATTTTATTAATTCAATGGATGTCTCTGAAATCATGTTTCCAGGTTTTGATCTTGGTGTAAATTTGCCCATCAGGAAGGCTTCTGTGAACATTGCGCAGGGGCTGTGCATGATCCTGGCAATGAGTTTTTTATTTCTTTCAGCCTGTCTGATCACTGAGGTCATTTATTATTTATTCCTTAATGTCTGTCTTCCCTATTTGCTGGTTAGTGTATGAGAATATGTGGCTTTACCATCTTTGTCAACTGTATACCCAAGCCCATCACAAGTGCTATATACAGGGTCCTTGGAACACAATAAATGAGATGCAAGACAACATTAGAGATTTGCATAGTTCTGTCTTCTTCCAATACCACACCATGTTCTCTGTGCATTATTTAGCTTTTATACTCCTATCTACAGATTTTTATGAAGTTGACCTATTCTCCTTTCTCACATTTTAGGATGGCAACTACAGAAATAAGGACTGTTTTTTTTTTCATAAATATGTTAAATAACTGAACGATAATAAGGTAAAGTAAGCTGCAGATGTGTGATGTGCATGATGGGTTCATGTACACATTTAACAAGCCCACTACGTTAACAAGCAACTATGGTTTTAAAAAATGAAAGGTTATTAGAACTTTTGTTTTATAATGCCTATGTAAAGCATCATTTTTTTTAAGATTTATTTTTTATTTATGCATACAGAACTGGGGTACAGGCCAGAGGTGTAGGGGCAGTAACAGGATTAACCAGAGACAGAGTGGGGAGCAGAACAGGCCAACTGAAGTACACTGCTGACGGGAGAAGTGCGTGGGTCAGGAGAGATCTGCCGCACCATGTGGTCACCTCTCTGGACGGGGATTGAACTTCTGCTGAAGTGGCTTTAGCTTCTCAGTGCTGTGCTTTAACCACTGTGCCACCAGGGAGGGCCACATCACTATTTTAAAAGCTCTTTATTTCTTCTGTGCCATTAACAGAGCTCTCCAGTCAAAGAAGGCCAATCAAAGAGGAAAATTAGTCTTATTAATCAATTCTCATAAATACCCACTTAATACTTGCTAAGTACTAGAACAAGGCTGAGAAGTGGATGCTAGCTGGAAAAGCTACCCCAATTCACTTGGGTTTCTAAGGGTAACTTAGACTGTCTGTGGCTTTGTCTTCTTATTGGCATAAAGGGGGGAAACTAGTGCTGGTCCACATCAAAAGCCATTTTTGAAGATTATTAGAAAATCAATACATTTACAACAGTATCAAACCATAAAAATTCAGTAAGTGGGGACTCCCTGGTGTTACCAGGTTAAGTCTCACCACTATGAAGTTATCTGCAGCCACTGCAGCACAAGTTTGATTCTTGGCCAGGGAGCAGAACCACATGATGCAGCAGACCTCCCCTGCCTCACTCGCTGCTCCTCTCAGCGTGTATTTCAGTCAATTCACCTATTCTGTGCCTCACTCTGTCTCTAGTGAATCCTCTCCACCCCCACCCCAACCCCCCAGGCACCCACCCCAGCTCTTGTACACATAAATATATAAAATACTTTTCTAAAAAGAATTTAGTAAATAGTGATAGCTATGCTTATTTTAATTGACAGTGAGTGATAACAATTAAGCAACTCCTTGGGACTCTATAA